GCGGTGAACGCCACCCCCGATTCCTCACTGCCCCCCACCCTCCTTCTGTATCGTCACTAAATCCTGCTCTTTCTATCTCCAGGATCCACCTGACCACCCCCCCACTGGGGCTGCTGCCACGGCCCCCCACCATCGCCAAAATCACCTCCCTAAGGCCCAGAAGGGACTGTCGCTCTCCCGCTCAGACACCTCCAGGACGGCCTGGCCTCCTTGGCTCGGCACTCGAAGGCCCTCTGCGGTCTGGGGCCAGCCTCCCTTCCCAGGCTACCCCCCTCACCTGTCACTGGGTCTTCCCAGCACTCCTCCTGCAGCCCTCCCACGTGCCCTCGAGGGTCGACCCGCCTTAGTAAACCCTCCGGGGTGACCGAGCCGGGCAGGGCCTGTGGTCTGCACCACCCACTGACCTGTCAATGAGCAGGCGCCGCAGCGAAGACGTGACCAGGTTGGCCACCAGAGGGCAGTTGTCGCGGCGGACGGCTTCCAGCCCTTTACAATCCATCTTGTCGTGAGAGTCGGAGCGCGAGGAGAAGAGCAGGCCCGCGTAGCGCTTCTTGCTGATGAGCAGGTATGGGAAATAGACCTACGGGTGGGAGAGGAGACGCGGAGGGATGAGACGCCTGGAGCCCGGGAAGGCTCCCCGCTCACCCCCTCCCCATCCCCGGCTCACCTTCTCGAACTCCAGCCGGATGGGCGAGATGAAGTGGCTGGACACCCAGTCTGCGGCCTCTCGGCCCAGCGCCATGGCCTCCGCCACCGAGGGGACCCCGAAGCGGCACATCACTGAGTCTGTGTCTCCGTACACCACCTGCGAGGAAGCCAGCCACCGTGGAGGCGCAGCCCGGCTCAGGGAGGCGCCTCGGCCCGCCCCAGCCCGCCGCTCACCTTGGCGTCGGCGCTGTACCCATTCTCCACGGTGTACTTGGACTCCACCAGCTGTTTGGTCTTCTCGATCATCTGTCGCCCAAAGCCAGTGACACTCTGGAGCGGGGAAGGAAAGGAAAACATGGCGCCCTTCTAGAGGAAGGCGGAGCGCGGGGGCAGAGCCAGAACAGTGGGAAAAGGCAAGGACTCAGCCCCGCCCTCCCCCAAGCCCCAGAAAACTTTAAATGATGCCACATAAAGGAAGGCAAGCAGGCGCCTGCTTGGTCTGCCCCGTCCCCGCTACGAGATTCCATCTGCGACGCCATCGGCCTCTTCTTCCGCTAGGCCCCGTCTCTCCCCAACATTTCCCTTCTCCTTTTCCTGCCTCTCCTCTTACCCATCTTTGCTCTCCATCTGTCCCCCCTCCCGTTTTCTCTCTATCTTTCCCCATTAGCCACCTCCTGGCCCCCAGCGCTCCCTCACGAACNCACAGGGACCTGAAGATGCTGAAACCCTGGCAGGGCGGGGCCTTCGCTAACGTGGCTGCCATGCACAGAGAGAGACCGTGGGGCCTCTCGNGTTCTCTAACCCCCAGAACACCAGGGTCGGAGCTGCAGCTGCCACCTTGGAGACCACTTAACGTGGCACAGCC